TAAGGTTTTGGTGTGGTTGATGGTGACCTTGTTCTCCGTAGTCCACGCCTGTAGCCTGTCCAGGGTGCCTTGTAGCGATGAGTAGTCTGGTGCGGTGTTGTCCACTGAAACCCCCACAGTGCAGTCATCCACGTACTTCCACCTGTGAGGAGTGTCCGATAGAGCGTCGTTGATCAGGATGAGGAAGCACAGTGGTCCCATCTTGGTCCCCTGGGGAACACCGCAGGTGAGGTGTTGGAATGTAGAGACCAAGCCCTGATACCTCACTGCTTGGCGACGTCCACTCAAGAAATCAGTGAGCCATGAGACCAGTTTGGTGGGCAGCCCTAGTGCAATAGCCTTGTTGATAACAGTGCAGTGATCAACAAAGTCAAAGGCCTTCCTGAAGTCCACAAGGGCAACGGCCAGTGATGTCTTACGTTTCTGCAAGTTTTTGTGCAGAAAATCCAGAAAGCTCACCAAGCAGTGTGATGTAGAGGAGGTCCTCATATTGTTGTGGGATCTATTGACCTGAGTCAGAATCGTGGGTGGTGACCTTGGGGATGGGGGTGACAAATGCGGTTTTCCATTCATTAGGGCATTTGCTTTGTCTGAGGGATGCATTAATAATAGAACAGAGGGGGGTGGCAAGTTCGACTGCAAACTCCTTGTATATTTTGATTGGGAGGTCAATTGGGGTCGTGGAGTGTTTGAATATATATATATATATATATATATATATATATATATATATATATATATATATTATATATATATTATATATATATATATATATATATATATAATATATATATATATATATATATATATATATATATATATATATATATATATATATATATATATATATATATATCTTGATAAAATCACACGGGAAAAGGGAAACAACGGAGCACCTTAGCTTTTGTCTTTATTCAAGACATTTTCAGAGGCAACTGTATATATGTAACCGGTTGGAATTACTGGACTTTAATTTCTCACTTGACTTGGGGTTTATAAAAGATTATTAGATGGTAATTGCAGTGGAAGTGCCCCTTAGTGAGAATTCCCGAACCAGCACAAGAGCACTTAACTTTACTAAACAAAATGAATTGTCCGTGACCCATGGAAGGATAGCGTCTGTGACTGGGATGAATGAGACACACTGTAAAATTTACACTTATATTCCCTCCAACACTACAAATACAATCAAATAGTGGTACACCAATATGCGCACTTCTTAACCTGAACTTAAAATACTACTCTGGGGAATAAAAGTTATACATGATGTTGAAATTATTAGAACCTCAGGCAATGCCTCATTAGAGGATAATAAGTTTAAAGTATTAAGAAATGTTGCTTGCACACATGAACCAAGCCTTAAGGGCTTTCAACAAAATATCAATCATTGAGAAAATGGTATTAAAAAAATAAGAAATTAATAACTCTACAATGAATAGGCCTTAAGGGCACTCACCAAAATTATATCCAGCACTGAGAAAATGGTATAAAAATCAGAGCTTATTAACTCCACCCTGAATAGGCCTTCAGGGCGCTCAACAAAATTATATTACCCCAACAGATACACACCTCCTAACCTAACTTAAACACTACTCTGGGGAACAAAGGTTATACCTGAGATTGAGATTATAAAGAAATGTTAAATGCACATAGCATACATTAGTAACTGAAAAAATAGGTATTAACTACACACAAAAATATTGTCACTATTATTAAGAAGTTACTGAGTCCACCAATACCCGTGAACCATGCTTCCTAACCTAACACACACACAGATTCCACCTGCACTCCGTAGTCGTTTAAGGCACAACCAACAGGCACCCGTATTTAAGGCCCAAATCAGCCTTTCTCCACCTTGGAAAGTGTACCTCTAAACTCCACTGACTCTTGGCCCCAGTGTGCGGCCCTGTATCACTCAGCTGGCTTCACTTTACCCCCAGTACATCCATGAAGCGGAAGGGAGTGAACCAATCAGACCTTGTGCAGTTGAGAGAAGCTTTAGCTTCCCGTTAGTAAAAGGTTTTCACTAAGCTGCTTGAAGATATGTGGTATTGTGAGCCGAGGTAGAGGAGAGTTGATGACCCCAAACGATCGTCACGTCGTTAGTTGGGCACCCAGACGGCTAGATTCACTCAAGAGATCCTTTGATACCCCGCTAAACAGTGACAGGCCTACACTGATCGGTCCAACGGCGACAATCGCCAATCCTCAATCATCAACGGCAGTCAATCTCTCGCAGTCATCACTCTCGCAGTCAATTTCTCGCAGTCAAGTGGGTTCTGACAGAAACCCTGAAATGAACTCACTGTTAGCTCTTGTTAACTTTATCACTGCCCTATCTAAACCCTGTCTGAGATCGAATGAAACTTACTTGTTATACTGCAATAGTGCAACACAGGTGACTAGGCCACGTGACTATTTCTGTGACGGACGCGCAGGGACGTCTTGTTGATCGGAATGCTTTCGCGTCACTCAAGAGCTAGCCAACCACGTGTCCTCTCAAGGCGTTAGCTTAGGCCTACGTGACATATTTTCCGCCTAACTAATAACTCCTTGGAACACCCGTAACATTCTTCAGACTGATAAACGATCTATAATAATTTCAAATTCAATAATAGTCCCTTAACTTCATGAATCGCATCATTATTAATTCGGCAAATTACATTTAATATCATATAGGCCTAGTTCCACAACCTCTCCTATGTGCCCAAAGCGCTTTCTTGTAATTCACATCTTCAAGGGGGTGAGTACAGACTAGTCTGTACTCGCAAAGCTACCATTCTTTACTTGATTTACTATATATATATATATATATATATATATATATATATATATATATATGTATATATATATATGTATTTATATATGTGTATATGTATATATATATGTGTATATATATGTATATATATATATGTGTATATGTATATATATATGTGTATATGTGTATATATATATATGTGTATATGTATATATATATGTGTATATATATGTATATATATATATATGTGTATATGTATATATATATATATATATATATATATATATATATATATATATATATATATATATATATATATATATATATATATATATATATATATATATATCCCGTGAAGACATGATCCTGACTATGCCTGTCCCCTTGTTTCATCTTAAGAACATAAAAATGGAGGAAACTGCAGCTGGCCTATTGACCCATACTGGGCAGTCCCGTTTATACCCAACCCCTATTGCTCATATAAGCATCCAACCTATGTTTGAAGCAATCCAGCGTATTCCAGTTAATGATGATATTTGGTAACTTGTTCCATTCATCCACTACTCTGTTTCCAAACCAGTGTTTACCTAGTTCACACCGAAATCTAAATTTGTCTAATTTCAAACCATTGATACGAATTCGCTCCTGGTTGGATAGTTTGAGTACCTTTGTAATGTCTCCTTTGTTTAGCCCTGCTTTCCATTTATACACCTCTATCATGTCGCCCCTCACTCTACGTCTCTCGAGGGAGTGCAAATTAAGATGCTTTAACCTGTCTCTGTATTCAAGGTTCCTAATGCCCGGGATTAGTCTTGTCATTCTCCTCTGGATTATTTCCAATGATTCTATATCCATTCTGTAATACGGTGACCAGAACTGAATTGCTTAATCCAGGAGAGGTCTCACAAGCGCTAGATATAATTTTAAGATGACCTTGCTAGTCTTGTAACTAACACTCCTTTGTATGAACCTAAGTACTTTATTAGCCTTGTTATGAGCAAAAACACATTGTTTACTTGGCTTAAGATTCCTACTTATCATTACTCCAAAATCTCTCTCGCAGTCGGATTCCACAATGGCATCGTTGTTCATCTGGTAACTGGTTTCCCTGTTTACATCTCCTATACTGAGTACTTTACATTTGTCCACATTGAATTTCATCTACCATTTTTCCGACCATTCGAAATTTTTTTTTAGATCTTCCTGTAGTTTTGCAGAGTCCTCGCCAGATTTAATTACACGTCCTATTTTAGTGTCATCAGCAAATTTACTTATGTTGCTGTCTATGCCGACATCTATGTCGTTTATGTATATAATAAATAATAATGGTCCAAGTACTGAGCCTTGGGGAACTCCACTAGTGACGTTGCTCCAATGTGATTTAGTGCCGTTTATGCTCACTCGCTGTTTCCTGTCCTGTAACAACGCCCTAACCCATTTAAGGATATTACCTTTGATGCCATGTGCTTCTACCTTTCTAATTAGTCTTTCGTGGGGGACTCTGTCGAAGGCTTTGCTAAAGTCGAGATATACCACATCATCATTGTGCCCCTCGTCCACCGATTCGAAAACTGATGAAAAGAATGTTAATAGATTAGTTTGACATTAACGTCCGCTTGTGAAGCCATGTTGGGAATCATTGATCAACTTGTGCTTCTCCAGGTGGTTTCGAATAGAGTTTGAAATAATTGATTCTAGTAATTTACCTACTATTGATGTTAGACTGATTGGGCGGTAGTTAGAGGATAGTGATCTATCCCCCTTCTTGAAAATCGGTATTACATTCGCTATCCTCCAGGATTTTGGTACGACACCTGTTTTTATGACATGTTAAACAACTTTGCTAAGGGCATACTAAGCTCATCCTTACATTCCTTTAATACTCTGGCAAATATCTCATCGGGACCAGGTGACTTATTAGGCTTCAGTTTGTCTATTTGCTTATCTTATGTTGTCTTGTTTCCCTCCCTTATCAGATTACTGTATATCAACTCCACTGCAAAATATGAATTTACTTATAAGATAAATGTAAAAAATAAAGATCAAATAATACCAGATGATACTAAATGTTATACAATAATTCCTCGAGATAAATATACTGAACTGTACTGTACAGTATATATCAGGTGCCACTATGAGAACTCAGGCTGGTGTGGCAGCCATATGTATGGGGCTAATGGTGGAGAAGCTGGGTAGCATCTTCCACGTTGCCAACATCTTCCAGTCTGCCGTGGAAGGCTCACTTAGTGGTCTATTTTTTACAGGCGTCTGTGCACCGTGGGTCAATGCAAAGGTAAAACAAGACTTGAGAGTTGATCTTTTGAGTCATACCATAAGAACCATGTGATAAAAGTAGAGCTGTTTTATATAGCGATATCTAATGACGGTATCTGTTGGTAAATAATGCTGCTTCCCATCATCACAGGGAGCTGTGGTGGGGTTCGTACTGTCGTTCATCTTCAGTGTTTGGGTAGTTATTGGTAAATTTGTGCGAGGAGGGGGGTCGCCTCCCCGCCTGCCACTGTCTACTGAGGGCTGCCCGGAGAACCTTGCCCTCTTCCTTAACGCCACCGTCACCGGCCTCGTCAACAATACCATTCGTCTTGCTGATACTACGTTGACGACCACCGCTCTGCCTGATGCTGTGCCGGCCAACACCACAGCTGTCGATGGGTCAGTACCACCAAACTCTAATTGGTTTTACTTACTTGTCAAGCTGTATGTCTGATGTTTTGGTCCATTTACTACATCTGTTTCACGATCTAACTATACACACCATGAAGCAGTAATGTGTCAAACTTTAAATCGGTGACAAAGGAATTCACACAGGACATAGTGTAAGGCATTTATTAGCGGTTTAATGTTGAATAATGGACGTTTAGGTTATAAGAACATAAAAACATAAGAAAATACGGAGTCTGCAATAGGCCGGTTGGCCTGTGCATGGCAGCTCCTGTCGAGAGTTACTACTACTCTCTATCATCCATGAATCAATCTAGCCTCCTTTTGAAACTTTCCAGATTTCCAACACTTACTACAAAGTTGCTAAACTTGTTTTACTCGTCCACCACCCTATTTGTTCCTTCCTATCTCCCTCCTAAACCTAAACTTATCCAACTTAAATCCGTTGCTCCGAGTCCTATCCTGCTCGGATATTATAAGAACTTTATCTATATCCCCTTTATTGATTCCTTTCACCCACTTAAATACTTCTATCATATCTCCCCGCACTCTTCGTCTTTCTAGGGAATGCAAGTTAAGTTTCTTTAACCTATCCTGATATGGAAGGTTTCTAAGTCCCGGAATCATTTTCGTCATTCTTCGCTGCACTGACTCTAGTGAAGTGATATTCATTCTATAATAAGGGCACCAGAACTGAGCCGCATAATCGAGGTGCGGCCTGACTAGCGCAAGATATAGTTGCAATAAGACCTCTGCACTCTTATTACTTACACTTCTAGATATAAAACCCAATACTGTGTTTGCCTTATTTCGAACATTAACGCACTGTTTTCTAGGCCGTAGGTCCGGGCTTACAAGTACCCACCTATCAGATCAAAAAACATGACTAGTATAACTTAATTATTTGACTCTCCTCGGGGGAAGCGTAAACGAAGGATGAATGCCACCACCAACATAAGGATAAACAACAACATTTGTTGGGTAACGTTTAGACAATATCTCTTGTCATAGTCAGACCGAAGACATGACTTACAACAGTATAAAATTCAACATGACAAATAAAATTGAATACAGCTTTGGTTATATTAAACACATCGCAAAAAAAAAAACACTGAACATAAAACATGGAATTATTAATTGTTAAAACCTACCACAAATAACTACACGGAGCAAAGACGCAAAAATTAGCAGTAACTTAGAACTTAACACCAAAGATAAATACACAAAAATAAGCAAATATGTTACATACCAGTTAGAAATAAAGTAAAGCAGTAGAGTGGCAAATAGTGGGTATGAACGAGGATGTTAGGTGAGCAGTGCGTGAGAAATAATAATAATAATAATAATAATAATAATAATAATAATAATAATAATAATAATAATAATAATAATAATAATAATAATAATAATAATAATAATAATAATAATAAACGGTTTATTGAAAAAGTTCTGCAGCCAGAAGGCTGAAAATATACATTGGATATAAAATGACTTATTACATACATAGGTGGTTTAACAAAAGCCTTCATTTGAGAGAGTTGAAGGAACATACAGTGAACATAAAGATTAATGTTTACACACGTAGATCATGTGAGCTGAGGTGTTGAACAGCAGACACGTAGTGTAGTAACTCCCTCACAGATGGCGTTATGAGGGCATCACGTGGAGTACTAGTTCCCTCTCAGGTGGTGTTATGAGGGGCCTAACGTGGTGTAGTAATTCCCTCACAGATGGTGTTACGAGGGGCCTGATGATGTAGTAGTTCCCTCACAGATGGTAAATGAGGGGCCTGATGATGTAGTGATCCCCTCACAGATGGTGTTATGAGGGGCCTGATGTGGTGTGATAATTCCCTCACAGATGGTGTATGAGGGGCCTGATGTGGTGTAATAATTCCCTCACAGATGGTGTATGAGGGGCCTGATGTGGTGTAATAATTCCCTCACAGATGGTGTTATGAGGGGCCTGATGTGGTGTAATAATTCCCTCACACATGGTGTTATGAGGGGCCTGATGTGGTGTAATAATTCCCTCACAGATGGTGTATGAGGGGCCTGATGTGGTGTAATAATTCCCTCACAGATGGTGTTATGAGGAACCTCACTTGATGTTGTAGCAACTCATTCACTACGTGGTGTCGTAGCATCATAGGGACACCACGTGGTCTGTTGTCACATGGTAATGTATTGGTTGATAAGAAGGAAATCAAAGAGGTTTGGAAAAAAAAAAATAATTACGACCGACTGTGAACGAGAAGTTTATATGGATCGGAGTCAACTTATGAGTACCAAAGCCAGTTCAGAGACCATATCCAAGAGTTAAAAGAGAATGAGTGAAGCAAGAAATTGGCAAGAAAAGAGAATGGAACGGCTACTGGAAGCTCGGGATTAATTCATGCTCCTTTGGCTTGTAAACTTTCGTCTGTGTCTGTAATTGGCCATCGGGTGCTCCTCCTTGTCACCACACATCCTCAAGGCTTCAAGCAATCTTATTTTTTCCCTTATTTGTCTATTCACTTTATAATTCCATCGGCTTTTCACTGCATGCCTAGCTTGGCCCTTCGCCCTGCCCCACATCATGTCAGCAGAAAGTCCTTTATTTTGGCCCAGCATCTCGCTCCACTACCCCTCTCAGTACTGCTAGCAGAGTCCACTCTTCTCAACCCAACATGATATGCTTTCCTTATGTTTTGTTCCTTAGATTTCCACACTCTCCTTTTGGTAACATATATAGCACCTCATTCTTTCCCCTGCACGTTTTAAGCAGCATATCTCATGCAAACATTCTGTTCGCACATTCTTCACCTAATATACGCTTTACATCCGAAACAAGATTCCAATCACAATTCCTGATAAATTTGTAGTTAATCTTGGTTTGTGTGTGTGTGTGCGCGCACATATGGTGGTGTAATGTGTCTAGTGTGGCAGCATATGTTAGTGTTAAAGTCCAAGCACTGCTTGCTTCCTCTCGCTTTCAGCTACAGCCGCTGGCTATCCGTCGTGGCGAACAGGGAAACAACTTACTTAAGTCCTCCCCAGCCAATACAGTCTCTTCACCATCAAGACTCTTGCTGTGCCTCCTCGTGGCAACACACTGTAACTGGGTGCCTCGTGGGCCCAACCCAGGCTAAACCGGCAAGGGATATCGGAGTAGCAGTGGGCCCCAGAGGGACAGCACATAGGCCCACTGGCATGTGGACACGTCCTGGCGCCTACTAACCACTGCCACGCTGCTTGCGGATTAACCTTGGTAGATACAAGGCTATGGAAGTAAACACCAAATGAAAAATCTACAGTGGAGCCCTGCAACAGGCAAGCATGCTTCCAACAAGACCCCAACGGCGGTATAAGCGGAAAAGGTGACCAACGACCCAACGACTACACCTGTGGATGAAGGCAATTCAAGATGGACAGGCTACTCAGGCGAAACCCAACAAATTGGGCCATCGGCAGTTCATTGCAACTCTCCCTCTCCCCAGTCATTGCAACACTTGCACCACTGGATCAGGAAACGGGAGAGCCAAGGTGTGTGGTTGTAGCTTGTGCTCCTGTCTCACCACATAAATCAACACACAAGCAGCCATCATCCAGCTCATCATGCTTCTCATCATCATCAAAACCCCTATACCCCCAAAAAGTCCTATGGCGATGGACGAGTGGCAACGGGGCCAAGCAGAGATGACTCCCGAGAGTTTCTAGTCACAACTCTACACATAGGCGGCATAAATAAGATGGTCGTTTATGCACTGGGATCTAGTCAGTAGTGCAATCCGGTCCTGTCTGTGCGACTGAGCAGTCCTTATGAGTAGCCATTCTGCTTACCCAACAGAGGGAGGGGGCTGGGGCTGGTAAAGGTGCCCCAAACAGAGCTTGGCTAAAGAACCAAGCTGACTGGGTAAGAGAACCCTTATGCAGATCAAAACAAAAAGAAACTATACTACCTATTATGGTTGCGGCATGGAATGTCAGAACCCTTCTGGATACTGGCACAAAAGTACACGTCCTGAAAGAAAAACCGCCCTTGTGGCAAAGGAGCTGGCTAGGTATAACATCGACATAACATCCATTAGTGAGTCCCGCCTCCCAGACAAGGATCGACTAACAGAACGGGAATCTGGCTATTCTTTCTTATGGAAAAGTAAGCCTTCTGCAAAGAGAAACCACATTTATGAAGATGTGCTTTGCCATCTGCCAAAGCATCCTACATAGGCTAACTGAAATGCCTTTTGGGATCAACGAATGTCTCATGATGCTCCGATTCCCACTGAATCACTCACGCCATGCCTTCTTCATCAGTGCATACGCCCCAACACTGGATACAAAGGATGACATCATGGAGTCCTTAAACACCGAACTTGACAGAGTTCTAACCTCTTTCCCCAGAGAAGATAAGGTTGTACTCCTAGGTGACTTCAATGCCAGAGTTTGCGGAGATACTGACATTTAGCAGTGAACCACAGGGAGAAATGGACTTGACAAATATAATCCCAATGCCCTACTCTTCCTAAGTAAATGAGCTGCACACAACCTCACTATCCCCATTACCTTGTTTAGGCAGGCCGACAAGTTCAAGGGTTGGTGGTAATACCCACGATCCAAACACTGGCATCTCATTGACTACATCATTGTCAGAGAAACAGATCGCCAAGATGTCCTCATTACCCGAGCCATGCGTGGCTCAGACCACTGTGATACTGATCATCAGCTCGTCAGAGCCACACTCTCACTTCACGTCGCTCCAAAACGGCAAAGGCAACAAGCCTCCAGAAGAGCTTTTAACACGAAGTTTCTGGAGGATCCAGCGGCAGCCTATGCTTTCATGCTTATAGAGAGCAGCTCGAGCATGGGCTGATAAACAACCCGACAACAAATAACCCAAATCCAAGTGCTAATGGGATATTCTCGAAACTGTCATGACAAAAACCTGCAGAGACCCTCGGCCAGATCGAAAGAATACACCAGGACTGGTTTGATGAAAATGACCCGGAAATC